TGTGAGGCAGGTCTACTAAAATGAATTTCCTTGGTTTTTGTTTATCTAGGAATATCTTAATGTCCTCTTCATTCTTGAAGGACAAGTTTGCCAGATATAGAATTCTTGGTTGACAGCTTTTCTTTCAGCAGTTTAAATATGTCAGCCCACTGTTTTCTGGCTTTCATGGTTTCTGACGAGAAATCACCTGTTAATCTTATTCCAGCCTCTTTGTATGCAGTGATTCACTTCTCTGTTCCTGCTTCTAAAATTCTCTGTCTTTGGCTTTTGACAGACTATTATATATCTCAATGTAAGACTCTTTGACATTATCCTGCTTGGAGTTCATGGAGTTTCTTAGATGTTTTCATCAAATTTGGAAAGTTTGGGTCATTATTGCTTTGAATATTCTTTCTGCCTCTTTCTCCCTCCCCGCTTCTGGAACTCCTATAACACAAATGTGGTCTCCATTATTATATCACACAGGTTCCTTAAGCTCTATTCACTCTTCTCCCTTTTTTCTTTCTCTTCCTCAGACTCAATAATTTTAATAATCCTGTGTTCAGGTTCACTGATCCTTTCTTGTACCTGCTCACATATGATGCTGAATCACTCTAGTAAAATTTTTATATTAATTATTCTACTCTTCAGCTCCAGAACTCATTTCTTCTTTTTTTATAATTTTGAGTTCTTTATCAATATTCTCATTTTGTTCTTACATTTTCCTGAATTCCTTTAGTTTTTTTACCCATGTTTTCCATTAGCTCTTGGGTATATTTAAAATACTTGATTTAAAATCTTGGTTTACTAAGTCCAGTGTCTAGGCTTCCACAAGAATAGATTCTGTCATTTCTTTATCCTTTGAGTAGGTCATACTCCCCTGTTTCTTTGCATGCCTCATGATTTCTTTTGTTGTTGAAAACTGTACATCCAAATATTATAGTGTATTTTAAGATGGTAAGTTGGGAAATCAGATTCTCCCTCTTCCCCAGGGATTGCTGTCTTTAATTATTGAAGGTTTAGCTTGTGTTCTGCCAGTGTTCTGAAAAATATTTTCTTGAATGCCAAGAGCTTAAAAACAACACAAAATTACATAAAAAACAAAAATACTTCTCCTAGGCCTTCAGACAGGTTCTGTACTAGGGTACTCCTTTAACAACATTAACAACACGTCTTTGGTCTTCACTTCCAAATCAACTTAAGGTCTTCTCAAGTCTTTCCTGAGCATGAGTCCTGTCCTGAAACATATATGCATATGGCTTTCTAAATTCCCCCATATATACACTGGCATTTCTGATTGCCCTAATTTTCCAAAGGAATTCTTTCCCTGGATTTCCCTCTCAGGACATAGGTGGTCTATTACATGAATCAGCCATAATCTTTTGTCCCAAACATCTAAAGATTTTTTCCATTTGACTTACAGTGTTTTCAGTCAATGGCCACCACTTTTATTCCCCAAATAAATTCTGAATTAGGTGAAACAGATCTGAGCACCTTGCATCAGTCCTTCAAGAAGATCCCAGGTAGGTTAGAATACACAAATGCAGTAATTTTTCTCCCTTTGTAATCAGGGACCTTGTTCCCACAATAGGTATGCGAGCTGCTGTCTTCAAACCTGCTGCCAAGTTGGGGAAGGTGTAGAGCACTGACAAGTAAAAATGCCACAAAGCTTTCCCATATATATATATATATATATATATATATATATATATATATATATATATTATTTATTTTGGTACATGGCCCTAGCAGGAACCAAACCCAGGACTCTCTGGTCCACGGGCCGACGCTCCAACCACTGAGCCAAATCGACCCGGGCATTCCCACCAATTTTTAATTGCCTTTTTCTTGGATCAGCATTCACTTAGTTGCTATAAGGCACTGACTGTTTTTCAGAGTTCTAGCAAACTTGGTTCTAACAGTTTTTGTTTGTTTCTTCATGTTTCTGTGAAGAAATTGGGTTTTGAAGCAGCCTACTTTGCCATTTTGCTCATATCATTCTAAATATTTATTTTTAAAGACTTAAAATCTCATAATGTAGCAAAACTAAAATGTACTAATGCAACATTTATTTTTGTGCCATTTTAATTTGAGAAGATGCCTATAGTGACTATTTCCAGAAATTTCTACAGAGATCCATGAATTGAATTGAGGTGTTATACTGCTAAAATAACATACAAAAAGTCACATAAAATATTAACTTAAAGAATACAATTTCTTAGATTTCTTTGAATACTTTGGCTACTGCTAGCTCTTGTTTTCTGACAAGAGCCAGATGGTAATAAAAATGCTAGAAAAATTGAAATAGCCTATTATTTTTAATTAACTGGCTCCTTTTCCCCCATAACACATGATTGTAGTTTTATGAGATGTGCATAATAGAAATAGATTCCACTGGTACAACTATTAGCAGTTATTTTTAGGAAAATAAAAATATCAAGATTTCAAGGTGGTATTTTTTTTAAAAAAACAGTGTTCCCCCCAAAACGGCCTGACTTTTAGGTGTTTCACCATAAGCTTGAGAAATATTGTTAAGTAGAATGCAATTATTAAAATATTAAATTTTAGATACATTAGAACTCCTAATAGAAATACTTTATGTAACTGAACTCAAAAAAACATTCACATAGTATTTTCTAAAGTCAATCAAAATTATAGTTATGATGGAAATACTATCAATAAAATACATGTATAGAATTCTAAAACATTTGTCAGATTTTACTAACAGAAGGAAAAGGGTGGAGCCTGAAACTTGATCTGTAGAATCAACAAATCAATTATTTGCTATGTTTATGAGTAAAAAATAGCAATAATAACTCAAGAAAATTAGTAAATTATTAATAGGTCATTCTAGGCCTTTTAAACTTGATCTGTAGAATCAACAAATCAATTATTTGCTATGTTTATAAGTAAAAAATAATAATAATAACCCAAGAAAATTAGTAAATTATTAATAGGTCATTCTAGGCCTTTTAAAACTTTATATTTTAATTTATTAGTTCAGTAAAACGCAAATACACTTCCTCAGCAGAGCTCATCAAACATCACTGGATCATGAAATTAATTTACTAAGTGTTTCAAGACCAGCATTTATTTAAAACAATACAGGGGTGAGCAAAAGTAGGTTTACAATTGTTCGTATGGAAAAAGACATGCAAGTTATGATTATTATAATAGCTTTATTAACTTAAGGAATGTCACATGCACTGTAAACCCACTTTTGCCCACCCTGTAGTACAGAATAGAAAATATCAACATGTACTGTACATAAGGCTACATATTGCTTCATAAGACTTTTGTTTCTACTTTATATATTTAGAAAAGACATTATTTTTCTGCTATACCACAACACCTTTTCATCAGAAGAAACAGGCTAAAATAGGACATCCCTGCTATAGCTCAGTCTTAAGCATAGGAAATTATTACAATCTACAATGCAATGAGGCTCCTATGTAATTACTTAATGTAATGCTGTCACTTAAAAATATTACTTCAGGCCCAGCCAGTGTGGCTCAGTGGCTTAGCATTGACCTATACACCAAGAGGTCGCCAATTCGATTCCTGTCAGGGCACATGCCCAGGTTCTGGGCCAAATCCCCAGTCGGGGGGCATGCAGGAGGCGACCAATCACTGTTCTCTCTCATCAATGTTTCTCTCTCTCTCTCCCTCTCCTTTCCTCTCTCTCTAAAGATCAATGAAGAAAAAAATTTGTTTTTAATTACGTCAGAATGAAAAAGATTCAGATTGTTTTACTATTTCCATCAGATGACTGCCTTATATATAACTACTTCATAATTTGGACACCATGCAAATCTGAAGCAAACATCTATCACAAATTAATGGGTTCCAAAATACCTCACATTCTAGGGAAGATTTACTTAATTAGTCTCAAAGTTGTCAGTTAATTCATATGTAGTCTTTAAATTTAGGGATCTTCATTTTATTTCTAACTTCATCTCAGATCAGATTTAAATCTAGGACTTTACTGACACTCAGTTTTATTGGTAAGTGTTTAGACTGCATCCCAATTCTAAATTTAAACATTATACCTGAAAAAGTTTTCATATGGAATTATTAATTCTTTCTTTCAACACATGTTGGCCAAGGGTCCTGTACATAGAGTGGTAAATGTGCCCTCACGGAGCAGGCTCCTTTACTTGAGGTCTGGAGGAGAACAATGTATGGGCCTGGGAACATGGAAAGACAATAGTGGCTTTGGAGAATCCAGGCTCCAACTCTTATCTCCAACTATCTGCTAAACATTAGGCAAACTCATCAATCTCTCTGAGCCCTAATTTCTTCCTTTGCAAAATGAGTTTAATATCAACTTTTCACAGTTTTATTTCAAGGGCTAAATATAAAAATACAAAAGTTCCTAGTACAATAGTATCACTATCAAATATTCAAAATATTGACAAATTCAGGGCCTGGCACATAGAATCCATTCAATATTCATCAAATGAATAATCAACTCTGATGAAAAAAACATTAAATACATTTCCAAGGAAGTGGATCAAACATTAAATATATGATACTATTTTAATCGAATTATTGTGCTAAATATAGATAACTACCACATTGTCTTCATTTTCTACTCCCTAAGTTTTATTTAAGCCTTAAAACAAATTACTTTAAAGCATGTAAGCATGTTATTTAGTAACATAAAAAGAAAGTTAAAGGTTAAATTTTAAAACTTCATGCTGACCCAAGCTACACACTGTCATTACCTAAAACAAAATTTGGTACAAAATTTAAGTAACAAAAGAATAAATTAATAAAATGGCTGGTCACAGAAGTTCAGACACTCTCTACAAAACACAAGCAAGTTAATTTATCAATTATAACAACTTTGCACTAACTAGTTCACTAACCAAAACAAAAATTCATAGATACATAAAAAAAGATTACTTTTTTTTAGTCTCTGGGCATTATTTTTAACATAACAATCTTTTAAAGTATTGCTACAAGAAAACATTTTGAGTTAATATGAGTTAAATCATTTTAGAGATGCTAGAATTTACCTGTTTGAGTCCTTCATCAGTTAGTTTGTCCTGGTTGCCCACATGAACTTTCTGAAGTAAAGGACAGTGAGAGGCAACCGCAATAATAGAGGTGTCAGAAAGCTGTTTACACCTGTAGGCTGTATACCTAAGAAGTCCAGGACACTTAAATGCTAGAACACATACGCCAGTATCAGACATACTGCGACAATCAGAAATGTTGATTTCAATTATGTTTTGACTTCTTGATGCAATTTTTTCCAATAATTCATCAGTGACCTATGAGAGAGAAAAAAAGCAATAAATTAAAACTTCTACTAAATGTAGAAATTTATTTTCTATCCTTTTATTAAATTTCCCCCAATAAACAATATAATGAGATTATAGCGTGAAAACTACAATCCAAAGAAAACCTTCCTACTTAATATTAAAAAACAACAAGAACTGTAGTATAATAAAAAATAGTCCTGGCTGGTTTGGTTCAGCGGTTACAGCATCGGCCTGCGGTCCAGAGAGACCCGGGTTCGTTTCCCGCTAAGGGCATTAAGGGCATGTACCTTGGTTGCAATTTGTTCCCGGCCTTGGTTGGGTGGTGCGGGTGGCAACCACTCGATATGTCGATATGTCCCTTTTCCCTTTCACGTCGATGTTTCTCTCTGTTTCTCTGTTTCTCTCTCTCTCTCTCTCTCTCTCTCTCCCCCCCCCCCCCTGTCTGAACAAAAAACAAAAAAAATGTCCTCGGGTAAGGATAAAAATATATATATATTTGGTTTTTGTCTCTGGTTCCTTGAACAGAGCTCCTAAAACCCTTGAAATTTCTTGAGTGATAGCTTATTTTGTTATTCATAGCAAGCCCCCTTTGACCACATATGAGTTTATACTAATGAAATTACTTAAGTTGAGGCCCCTAGATAGCTTCATGATCGTCTGGTTCACCAGATAAACCAAACACCATGTGATTAGAGGGTGAAAACTTTGTTGTTGTTAATTCTCACCTGAAGATATTTTTCCATTGATTTTAGATAGAGTGGAAGGGAGGGAGAGAAATATCGATGTGACAGACACATCAATTGGCTGCCTCCCGAATATGCCCGACCAGGGATGGAACCTGCAACCCAGGCACATGCCCTTGTCCAAGAATCAAACCCGTGACCCTTCAGGTCACGGGTTGACACTCTAACCACTGAGCAACACCAGCCAGGGCAAGGGTAGAAACTTTTAGCCTCACTCCCTGAATTCCTGGGAGGGAAGTCGAACTGGGGATTGGGTTATTAAACTCTTGAATAACGAGGTCTGAAGAGCTTCTGTGTTGGTGAACACATCAAAGTGCTGGGAGGGTGATGTGCCCAGAGTGGGTATGGATGCTCCACACTCTATCTAAAACCTTGGCCTACACACCTTTTCCATGTAGCTGCTCCTGAGCTGTATCTTTTATAATTAACCAGTAAGCATAAGCATTTTCCTGACTTCTGTAAGTCATTCTAGCAAATTATTGAACCAGAGGAAGGGGTTAAGGGGAAACTCCCAAATTTATAACTGATGAGTCAGAAATACAAATAGCTCTTGGGACTTGTGATTAGTATATGAAGTGGGGACAGTCTTGTGGGACTGAGCTATCCTGTGAGGTCTGTACTAACTCTCAGAGTTAGTGTCAGAATTAAGCTGAATCCCGGGACACTGAGTTGGTATCAGAGAATTTGTAAATGTAAAAAACTCCACATATTTGATGTCAGAAAACACCAAGAAAGAATATATGTGTTAGTTTTCATTAAAAGCCTCAAAATCTATCTTATTAGGAAAATGTACTTTAATTAAACCTTCAAACTCACTAAACACTCTCCTCAAAATTGTATTGAGATTCTGAATGTTTTATTTTCTATTTTTAACCCAGCAATAGTGTATATAAGTCATCATGATGTATGAATCTTGGCTTTTTTCACTTAATATTAAATGATACTATAGTATATAAATTTCAATTGTTTTGCTGCTTCTATCAGAATATTACCTTATATATAATTAATCCATAGCTTAGAAAATTGATATCATTTTGTGTATTAGCACACCAAAGATTCCATGCAAATATCTACATCAAATAGCTTTTCTCAGAAGACTCAAAGCTAAATATAAGTAACCATAAAATTTAACTGGTGAAAAATTTACATGGCCATCTGAATATTTAAAATAATTTTTATTAAAGACTCAACCTCTACTCATTCCCTGCCTAATAACCACATTTCCAAACACAACAACAATAAAATAGTTAACATTATTCAGATCCTTTGAGTAAAAGTAATGCTGAGAGAAAATACACATGGATAAAATTTAGAACACAAAATGGAAAGAACTGGAGTGCTCGAGGACACTAGGAATAACAGCCAAGGTTAAAACTATTTTTGTTTATGTTTGTTGGAAAAGCACAAATGCAGTTACCTTCAAAACTACAATTCTGACATACTCTCCTCTTTTTATATTTTTCATCTCCAAATCAGCAGAGGGAAAAAGCTATTTTTAGTCTAAGTTTGTAACAAATAGCTCAGATATCCAACAGTACTGAAGTAAAAAACCCATGGGTTATTTCATATTGTTTCACATTACTACCCTAACCCTGACATTTTGTTTAAAGTGTATGTGCTATACATACATACATATATACTAATAATGTATGTTGGAGTTGGCTTATACCAACTCACAAAACCTATATGTACCTCTTTACAAATCAACGACAGCACTACATTAGGGAATATCACACTGGTAGCTTAAAATTAGCTACAATGGGAATATTTGTACCACAGAAACTGGTAAATATCACAAATCAGGGCTTTTCAGTTGTTCTTATTTTTTAAGCCAGTTGTTACACATTTACTACTACTAACAATACCACAGAATAATTTGAGCAGTTTTAGTACTCTAATAAAATCCTATTCTTATTGGATATTTTTATCTATTTCCAATGCCAAGTATCGACAACCAAGTTTAAAGGAAAAATTGCAAATTGTTTGCAATAAGCACTATTAACTCTTTTTTTCCTAATTTATGCCAGCATATAAACATATTCGGCAGCCAGGCAATGGAGAAGATTAGAAAATTCATCAAAAGTAAAATCAAACAAAATAAGCTATCTTAGCCTGTTTTGTTTCCATTACTTCATCTATAATAACAGTATAAGATTAATATTATTAATATTGTAATAGTAATATATTAATAGGAATAATAATAGTATCAACTCAGAAGGTTATTGATAAGATAAAGTGAATTAATATGTATAAAACCTGTAAAACAGTACATGGCACATCAGCAGTACTATATAAATGTTTGACATTGTTTTCTACCATTAAACTAATATTTATGATATGACCCTTCCAAAAAGGGTAAAATTAATTTTTCTTAAAGGGTAATAAAAAAGGGGGGACAGAAACAGGAATAAAACAAAGAGGATTAAGAAGCAACTCAAAATTACCAATCCACACTAAAAATATCTTCTTGATCATAAGAAACTAGCTTTACCTTAAATTCACACACAAAAATACTAACGCACAGAATTATAGGTTATAGTCATTTGAACTATCTTGAGAATCTATAACATAAAAGAAGTGATTTCTGAAGAGGAATAAAGATTTTTTTTTTAATAGATCAAATTGTTTCTTAGAATTAGACTGCATATACCTGCTGACGACTACTAAGATCCAGCTGCTTCCAAAACTGGAAATCTAAACAAAGGTCACGCCAGTACTTGCAGACCAACGATGCAGAAAGGCAACGTTCATCCAGGGATAAATTGGAAAATATCTGTAAATAAAAAAAAGTCATATGATACATACTTAAACATTTTAAAGGTTTTTGTTAGAAAAAAATTAACTTGAAAGCACAAAAACATGTTGAATACAAGTAACCATTATTGGAAGAGTCACTGTTAGAGACAATCCTAAAGAGGAAGCATGGTATGAGAGATAAGAGATGAGAACATGGACTAACATTACCTTTCATGTAAGAAAAGGAGCAAAGGAGAGCGGGTGTGTGTGTGTGTGTGTGTGTGTCAGTATTTAAACAAATTAAAGGAAGAAGGAGCAAAGGAGAGCAAGGAGGTGGGGTGTGTGTGTGTCTGCGTGTGTGCGTCTGTGTGTGTGTCTGTGTGTGTGTGTCTGTGTGTGTGTCTGTGTGTGGCAGTATTTAAACAAATTAAAGGAATAAGCCAAAAATTAATTTCAAAAATACTCATCTTTAAGGGAAAGGAGAAAAGACGAGAAAGGAGAAAGGGATGAATGTGAGACTACTCTGAAGGTACCTTGTTTTATAGTTTTGACATCAGAACCAGTTGAACTTTTTAATGTCATAAAAGGACATTTTATATCTATGGTATTTTTTCCAGAATTTCGTAAATCCAATCTAATCCCTAGAAAACTATCACATACACCAACTGTGGGACATCCTACAAAATACATGATGAAGACTCCTAAAAAAATCAAGATCATAATAAACAAAGAAAAGCTGATAAAGTATCAAAGAAAAATAGGAGAATAAAGAGAATGACAACAAACGCAATCCTGAGTTGGAAAAAGGCCATTAACAGAAAAACTGTACCAATGCTGATTTCACACTTCAGCAAATGTATCATAGTAATGCAAGATAATCAATTTAGGGGAAATTGAAAGTTGGTGAGGAGGATATGAGGACTCTGTACTATCTTTGAAATGTTTTTAAAATTATATCAAAATGAAATGCTATTCTTAAAAGTTTTAAAAGTAAAAATTATTTTTAAAGTGGTCAGGGTTAGTATCAACACTGATTTTTAAAAATTAAGAGACACACCAACAAATACAATTGTGGACCATACTGAGATCCTGACTTAAACCAACTATAAGAAGATACTTCTAAGACAATCAAATACAACTGAACATAAAAGAGATAGTAAATTATTTGACAAAAATTATTTCACACTATTTAGACTGTTATAGTATTATTGTGGTTATAGTATTACTGTGGTTATATTATATTTTTAAAGCTATTATCTATTTTAGAGACAAACTTTAGTGTTTATGGCTGAAATAAATTTAGAATTTGCTTTCAGATACTTGGCCAAAACAAAAACAAAAAATGGCAAAAGATAAATAAACTAAAAAAGGCAGAATACTGAAAAATTGTTAAAATTTGTTTAATAATATACATGAGTTCATTGTTTTCTACTTTTGTCTATACATGAAAATGTACATAATATTAAATGAAAATTGTAACAAGAACATGTGCTCTACACTAAATTGTTTTATCCTAGGTTTGAATCATGTTATCTATGTAATCTTGGGCAAATTATCTAACTTTTCTGTACCTCAATTTCTTTATCTATAAAACAGGAATAATATAGTCTGTACCTGATAAAGTTATTGTGAGGACTGATGGAGTGTGCATAAAGTTTTTGGAACAGTGTCTGAAACAGTAAATAGTATATAAATTATTTCTATCATAACTATGACCTAAAATGATTTACCTCTATAGAGTCAAATGTTACAGAAATCTAAGCTAGAATCTCTCCTATGTTTAAATCTTGAGCCTTGGGAAAACAATTGCCAACTGCTGTTCCTTTATACCTAGTGTTTGTCCTCCAAGGGCTAAGAAGTAACATATATGCATGAGAATCACTGGTATAGATGTAGTTAAGCCCACTACAGCCTCTCACTCCCATTTATGACAACTAAAACCTCTAGACAACACACTAAAAGCAATTACCTCAGGACTCCAAAAGGTTAATAACATATGGATTGGGGAGGTGAGCCAAAACTTAAAGAATGACCAGTAACAGGAATGAGTTTCCTGTGTTATTTTTCCTTTTCTCTACCAGCATGGAACTGAGGATGGCCCCTGTATAGAACTACACAGCAGGCACAATCAATGAAAATACAGAGAGAAAGTCATCTCTCTGAACAGAGGGCCTCTGTAAAACAGAGAATGTGGGAAGAGTCCCCATTTTGGGTTTTCTCTCCTTTCCCTTTCCCTTTTTTCCCTACTGGCCATGTCTCAAATGCAGCCTTGGTCACAGAGCTGCAATGTGGCAGCTGTGCAGGCACCTAAAATTCTGTAAGTAAGCCCATCTTTTGACCAGAAGAACCAGGAAAACAACTCCATGGACCAAAGAGTGTGCAAGGAACTTCCATTACCTTTTTCTTACCACGTCATCATGAAAGCAGCCCAAATTCTGCAAAACTATACAGCAGCACAGGCATATAGCACGGGTATAGAGAAACTCTTATCTTTCTATCCAGAGAACCAGGAAAAGAGACCTAAAGTCAAAGAGTGTGAAGGAAGGATCAAAGAAGAGTTCTGGAAAGAGGACCCTTAATTCAGTGTATGACGTGACAAAAAACCTAAGTTAAACACAAAGCTATACATGTGCAGAAAACACCCAAAGTAGCACAGCAAAGTCTCTGAAAACTGAGTTAAAAATGGAATCACAGGCCAAGGAAGTAAGATAGAAATGTCAGTCTAAATGTAATATTGCTGATCCCTGCCAAATCTGATGAACTTAGACATTCATAAAACTCAATAAATTCCAATAAGATTAACTATAAGAGATCTACACTAAGACACATTACAATCAAATTGTCAGAAGACAAAGACGGAGAAAATCCTGAAAGAAGCCAGAGAAAAGCTACTCATCATGTACAAAAGATCCTCAAACAGATTAACATGCGATTTCTCACTGGAAACCATGCAGGCAATGGGATAACACATTTAAAGCACTGAAAGAGAAAACTGACAACCAGGAATTTTGTATCTTGCAAAACTAGCCTTCAAAAATAAAAGAGAAATTAAGATATTTCCAGATATACAAACACTAAAAGAATGTGTCACTAGTACACCTACCTACAAGAAATGCTAAAGAGAGTCCTTCAGGCTGAAATGAAAGATCACTTGAAACAGTTGCTTGAAACCACACAAAGAAATAGAAAACACCGATAAAGGGAAAAACAAATACCAATAAAGGTAGGTATTTATGTAGGTACATATAAAATTCATTATTAATGTATTTTTGGCTTGTACTCCAATTATAAATGATTGAAAAGACAACTACATAAAATAATAATTTTAAATCTATGTTCATCTTATGGACACAAAACATATACAGGTATAATGTGAACAATAACAACATAAATATAGAAACAAAGTTTTTATATACCATTGAAACTAAATAGATATTTGTAAGTGCCTGACATCAAGCTTTTATTATTGTAGTATATCTAACATTGTTTTTGATTGACAAAACATCAATTTCAAGACATCAATCTTAAATAAACATACTGCCAGCTATATGACACAGCTACCAGCAAACCAGATAAGGAACTAGGTCACCACAACCCATGAAGTTCCCTCTTTCAGAAAGCCCTGGGTAACCTAGATAACTGACCACTTGAGTGACCTCATTTCTCCCTTCCTGTGCCCTATTCTTATGCTTTAAATTAGCTAATAAAAAGTAAACCCACAAAACCCTAGACACCCCACCTTTGGACACTACCAAAAGGCAGAGTCCCAATTCCACGTCATTATCTCTCTACCTGCAACCTAGCTATGTGGCCCTTGAGTATGCTGTATGCCCTCCAGAATCTTCAAGTAATAAATCTTGTTCCTCAAAGTTCCTTGACAGTTCCTTGCTGAAGTGTGCCCTGCAATCATTTAAGAATCAAAAGAGCAGGCCCAGCCATTTCCTGCTGCAAGAAATATCTCTGGAGCTCACTAGGAGTGATGTGTGCCTGGGTAAGCACTGTGGGCATTTCTGACCAAGGACACTACCATCAATAGGCTCCAGAACAACAGAACAGTATTAATCAAAATGAGGTTGTTATAAATTATGGTATTAATTATAAACCTCAGGGCAAATGCTAAGAAAGTAAACACAGTCATGCATCACTTAACAATTAGAATACATTCTGAGAAATGTGTCATTAGGTAATTTTGTCATGTGAATATCATAGAGTGTAATTACACAAACCTAGATGGTATAGCCTACTACACACCTAGGCTATATGGTATACCCTATCACTCCAAGGCTACAAACCTGTACTGCATGTCACTGTACTGAATACTCTAGGCAACGTGTTTGTAGAGATCCACAAGCTCTGTGTGGGTTTGAAAGAGCACATTCAGGCTTTGCCATTTTCAAGCCTGCCTGTCCCTTACTTTCTGTTAGACACACTCAAGTCTCACCTGCACATGTGCATAGTTTCACAGTAAGCCAGAAATAAAGGTGGAGAGTTTTCTTTTCATGGTTGTCTCATTTTCAAGATCCACCTATTAAATTCCTGGCTGGTGCCCCACTCATCCCACTGGCACAACCTGAGTATTGCAATTATGTGGGTTTTCCCTGTTTCTTTCCCACCAAGTTCGTTACCTTTAGTTGACAAACACGGGTTTACTCATTGCCTCAAACTGACTTAGCCTCTCTGGCATCAAAACTGCTTGTTTTCCAAACTCTACTTCTTGCCGAAAGTACTGGGGCAGGGGGCCGCAGTAGGGGCCTCATGAAGAATGTTGTAGACTTCCGCTATTCTCACCTGCAGCTCTAGCAGTTCTCCTGAGAATAAGAATCTGTTGTCTGCCTTTGGTCAATTTCCAAAGCCCAAATAATTTGGGGCAATTTTGCCCAGTTTTATATTTGCTTTTTTTATGGAGAGGAGTTACCAAACTCTTCATGCAGCCATAGCTGGAAGTTCCTCTTTTATGGATATTTTCATGCTGATCCTCCTCATTTTACACATGAGAAATCTGGGATTCAGGATACTAAATAATGTCTGAGATTAAAT